TTTATAGTATAATAGTAAACTGTAAACAACAGTGTTAGAAATTATTTTGAGCTTAGTAAAGAAATATCGAAAAAAGAAACCATAAATAATAGCACTAAACTTATGATTTGTTAAAGAGATCAACAATAAATGCTGAGCTTCTATCGGGAATTTGTAAAAAGTGTCAGCGATGATAAACTTGGAAAAAAACTAATAGAAAATAAAAAAAAGTACATCATTAAAAGCAGTGTCCAAATGATACTTTAATTACCGAACATTACAAATAATAACTATAGAGTCCAGAAATAAACCTGTCAAAACTATTACCTGTAATTCAAATATGTTTTAATTGCAAATTGGTATTTTTTCCTTCTAGGTCACAAAATTTGTCGGTAGCTGACTTAACAGAGTAGATCTGTTCGAACTCTGCCGTCGTTCAATTTTTTCTTTAATTCCCCTTGAAAATTTGTAAAATTCGTTTCTCAACAGAAACATTCTTTTGTTTTCATAACCGTTGAAACCCTAAAGTTTTCAACAAACATTTAGTAGTCTCTTCAATAACAATTATTTCTTTTTTAAAAGTTCTCGCTAAGCGTTAAAAAAAAATTAGGAAACAAAAACGAGCAAATTTTACAGATTTTTGCAGTTAGTACAGGGAAAAAAGTTTGTAGCAGCAGTAAGCTAACTAGAAAATTTTTTGTCTTCTTCAAAGAAAGTTCAGTAATCTACAAAAAAATTGCACAAAAAAATAGACAACAAAGAGAATAGCAAGATAAGAGGAAAAAAAAAAAGAAAAGAACTTGGAAAAAAAGAGAATGCAGAAAAACAACCGGCAGTTATGTATCATTCAACTGTTAACAAATACACTTCAACGAGCTGTTTTTCCGTTTTCAAACTTGATTGCTGAAAAAGCTCAAGTTTTTTTTTCTTGTTTTCAAGAAGCACTAACTGTATACAACAACTTTACCTGTATTAGTTTGAAAGTTGTTGTTTTTGCTGTTTAAAACAACAATTCTTTCTTAAAAACATCATTAACTAGTTAGACAGTGTAAAATTGTAATCCTTAGGTTACAAATTTCAACAGCTTTTTTTTTTCTTTTTTTGAGTTTCTTCCTAAACAATAATCAATTTCTTCACGGGATGCTTTTGACTTACGAAATTCTGAAACTGTCCACTGCAGCCTTGGCAGACCCATTAAAAAATTACAAATTTTTGGACGATACTGATTTGAAAGACAAAATTTGCAAAACCAATTCGGTATAGCGGTGGACACTATTGCTCTAAATAACGAAATAACAGTTGCAGGAAAATCATTTGCAAACAGAGCAAAACAGCAAACATTAAAGATAGTTAGCATACTGCTTCGGGTATAAAACAAGTATGTTTCAAAAATAAATCATTTTTTGAATGTTGCTATGAATTTTAGCAACATGCACTTAGGACTAAAATTTTCAAATACCAAGAAACTGAAAAAAAGCAGTTTTTAAAATAGTAATGTCAAGAAGCAGAAACAATAAATATGTCAGCAAAATCGATTGCTGAATAAAATTTGTATTATTTGTTCATTAACGGTTATGTAAACAGCAGGAAAAGTCCTAAGTACAGAAGAACTGCGTAAAAAGAAGAATAAACTGCTTTAAGCCACTTTTTGAATAGATATGACACTAAAACAGAAATTTTTACCGATGGTAAATTTAGAAATTTTAGACAGTAAACTTTTTTTTTCCTTTTTAGCCCCTAATGAATGTTAAAAATAAAGATTTTGCAAAATCGTTTTTCAAAATTTTTGTAAAAAATTTTCTTTCAAAAGCTACTGTAAATTTCAGAAAAATAAATTTAGTCAAATTTACAAAAAATTTTAAGAAAATAAAATGAGCATTTTTACTGAAGCGAAAATTAATTTGCTGAATAAAAAAAATGAAGTACTTTGATCACACATCAGATCACCTGAAACGATTTTGCTGAAAAAATCTTCAGTAGACTCCTCACTTTACTATTTAATTACTAGTTTTTACAGCTCAAAATTACCACAAAATTTTTGATGTTAACCGTTTATAGTTTACAAGTGTTATTTAAGTGGTCAACAGCAATGTCGTTATTTGGAAGTCGTCGCAATGCTTCAGATTACTAATGCGCTTCTCGACTAGTGTCACAGTCATTTTATGTCACCTGCTTTTTTCAACCAATTATAATTATCGGCTAAGCAATAAAAATGTGAAAAATAAAAAAAATATTTCGGTTTAACTTAATTTCTTTTGTTTTTTATAAATCTTTACATTTAAAAAAGTTGTTTCTGTTGTTTGCAGAAGTTTGAAGCAAAAAAACAGTTTCAGTTTTGACCACCCGTTCAGTAGAACTTCAATATTTTGAGGGATTCTAACTGTACTGTTATGTAACATTATTAGTCTTGTGCAGCGCGCAATGGAATTTTGTCTTTGCAACTTTTAAAGCAACGAATGTTTATTGAGCAGAAGCAGAAAACAAATTAAGCAATGAACAATTACATACAGTGCTTAATATACATACAACTTTTTAATTATAGGCGAAATTCGTAATCGCTCGCTAAAATGATTAATTTGTTTGTCGTTTCTTACAGCATTGGCATCCTCCGTTTGATGTTGAACAAATGTCAAATGAAATAGGGCATGAACATTGAGCACATTGGTTTCCACCTGAACTTCCCTGGCATGAAACACACTGCACATTAGCTTGACACGTCTGCTGCTGTTCTGGAACCATCATACTTGGTGATTGGTACTGCTGGTCAGGTTGTGGCATTGGCTGGGGCTGATATTGAGGCTGCTGTTGTGCCTGTGGCGGAATCTGATACTGAGGCTGTTGCTGAGGCTGTGGCTGAGGTTGATACTGAGGCTGTTGTTGTGGTTGGTATTGTGGTTGCTGTTGCGGTTGTTGCTGGACCACTTGAGTTGGAGCGGCTTGAGATTGTTGACCTTGAATGCAAGCAGCAGCGCAAAGGGGCATGCAAATTGGAATACATTGCAGTTGACCAGAAATTTGTGCAGGTTGATTTTGGAATTCTGGTTGGGGTTGATACTGCGGCTGTGGTTGCTGTTGCAGCTGAGGCTGCATTTGAGGCAATGCTTGTTGCTGTGGCATTGGTTGCGGCTGTGGCTGAAATTCAGGTTGTGGTTGGAATTGTCCTTGCGGCATTTGGTAGTCGGGTTGAGGCTGGAACTGAGGTTGTGGTTGGAACTCAGGCTGTGGTTGATACTGCGTTTGTGGGAATTGTTGTGGCCGTGACTGTATCTGTTCCTGTTGTTCCACGCAAGATGACGAACACAGTGGCATGCAAATTGAGACGCATATTGGTTGTTGTTGTGGTTGCTGTTGCACTACTGGAATGGGGCTCTGAGTTGCTGGCATTGATGGATATGTACCAGACATGCTAGATGGGAAAGTGTAAGAAGGAGCTGGCATTGTTGTTGGTTGGTATTGAGGTTGAGGGTGAGGCTGGGGCAGTGGTTGGGGTTGTGGTTGAGGATGTGGTTGCGGTTGTGGTTGTGGTTGTGGCTGTGGTTGCAGCTGTGGTTGAGGTTGTGGTTGAGGTTGTGGTTGAGGTTGGGACGCGACTGCATGCTGTTCAATGCATGATACGCTGCAAAGAGGCATACACACGGGGATACACATCAGAGCTACTTGCTGTCTTTGCGGCTGTGTCGGTTGTTGCTGAGGACCTTGCGTTACACTGGGGTATTGGGGTACCATAGGTAGGGTACTCGGTGGAACTGTATATTGTGGAACTTCATACTGTGGCAGCTGAGGCTGTTGAGGTTGTTGGGGTATTTGAGGCTGTTGGGGTT